CCCAAACCCTAACAAGTGGGTTACACATTTCTACAGTGTTTCTGTTGTATTGCTGCATCCTTAGTTTGCACTCAGTTTAAATCCTGCTACTCCCTCATTTTGATCTTATTTGATGTGGAATATTTTGAATTTAGTCCTGATTCAGTTCAGTTCGGTGTTGTGTGTGACATGTCAGAAGTCAGACCCACTGTGTGGACAATATAATTAATTTAGTGAAATGTTCCCACCCCTTATTACACCATGATCACACTTGGTCATGTGCCTTCATCATCTTACAATAGTGGGCTTTAGATGTGACTCAAAGAGCTGATGTCAGTGCATCGCTTTGGCTTCTGTGCGTCTTCCTTCCTGGATCCCTGCGCTATGGCGATAAGGAGGTCAAAGGGCGCGGCTCGTGTGAAGGGCCTGACGGGGGGCTATAGATCACCCCTGAGTGACCATAACCTTTCCTTGTTTCTGCTGAGAATGCACAAACACAGCAGTCTATCGCTTCAAACCCACCTTTACAACTGGCGCTATTAAAAAGAAGGACATAAGTCTGATATGTAACATGACAGAAATGATCGTCTACATGGAAATCTTCAAATCAAATTATTTTTTAATTGTCTGGTCTAGCTATTGCACACTTGACGAGCAAAGGGGAAATAGGACGCTATTGATCTCACATGCAGGATTAGATTTCCGATAGCAAATAGGATCCAGGTCTCTTTGTACAATGGGAGGAGTAAGTGACAGAGTGCCCTATATATATCCCATAGCAGGGAGTCAATAGCCACAAGAACAAATAATACTGTGGCTAACGGCAATCAGGGCTAGCTCTAGCTCTCAGCAGTCTCTAGCCTGTCACGTGGAGAACTTAATTGTAAGATGGGAAACATATAGATATACAGTTGATGGGAGATCCAACATGGTGTGATGTCAGTAAGGGCTAGACAGTTCACTGCATATATAATAATCTTTTTCACTATCACCAGCCTATGCCTCCTCTCTGCAGTGATATGGTTGTAGCTTGTTTACAATTTGTATCAGATGCCTTACCATGAAACATATCTTTATTTTCATTTAGGCCTACAGTGGGAAAAGTGAAAGTGATAACATTTTAACTCCTCATGATGGCATTGATGGACTGTCATTAAAGTATTACTTGGACCAACACCCAAACCATGGGTTTGATTGACACATGGCCAGATTGTGGTACAAAAGTCATTATATTGATAGACTGACTTGGCTTGTACAGACCATGACCTTTGCTGTTGGGTGACTATAGCTATATATCAATGGGCATGAGAAAACTACTTCCTCATGCCGATGAAAACAGATGGGTTAGCCAACAGGGTTGGTAGTGGACTATATTGAAATTATACAGTCAGATTTCATTAGTCAGAAGTGTTCCTGACATTTATTAGCCTGTATCTTCTGGTGAGGGGTCTGCCACATGCTTGTCTCAACTGATGTTTTTGCTTTTCCTGAATATTCCACATTATAGCACCATGCAGTTTATCTTTATTCAGTTCTTACTGTGATGTTACAATGCATGTTCCACAGTATGGCATTAAAAAGCATCTAGCTCCATGGAGTCAGGGAGGTGGCAGACCCTCCACCAGAAATGTTAGAGTGTCTTTTCTGGTGGTGGGTTGCATAAGTGTAAAATAAATACTGTTTTTATTGCACACCCCCAGTTGCTCCCAGTGTCCTTTGTGCAGAGACAGGTATTCTCTGTGACAAACTGAAAATGCCACAGGAATGAATGTCCAAATGCATCTGGATCCTCTTTTATGGGTTACACAATAATTCTCAGAACAAATAAAGTGTATTGTGTGTATTCTGAGTCATACATTTACAAACATGTGGTCCTGCAAAATGGCTTAAATTATTACAATAGTTATATAGAGAAAAATTTAATAACTTTAAAAAGGGTACTTAGACTCGGCATGAATTTTCCCTTGTGTGTGTGTTTTTTTTCTTATTTCGAACAAAGAAAAAATGTGATTTAAGCCTTGATGACAGTCTCTTTTTCATACTTGGACAAATGGTTTCAATTTCAGCTTTTATGAAACATGCATAACAAATGTAGCCACATCTGGGCACAATAAATTATGATTAGTCCTGGATTACAATGAACAATGTCAACTGCTGGTGTGGGTGGTCCTGCGCATGGGTCAGACCTGACTGACCCCTCTGTTGTTTATCAAGATGTAATTCGCTCTGTTGGCGTCTGGTCATTGCCACCCTCCTCATGAGAGCAGAGAGGCTGTAGACCGCCATGTCCTGGGATGGATCAAGGGACATGGGTGGGTGCTCGTTGGGTGGGTGCCTTTTGGGTGGGGCCTGTCCTAAAAAAAAAGACCTATCATAGCCCATGTCCTCCTCTGGCCAGACCATCCATCTGGACACAAGTGCATTCATTGTTGTGACATTCCCAGCGTGGGGTTGTCTGCTGCGGGCGAACCGGTGCGGGCCTTCTTCACCTCCTAAATACTAACCATAGCTTTATTAAAGAAACCCCATTGAGTCTTTCACACAAACAAAAACAAATTGCGCATTGTGCTACTGTGTACATTTTTGTATGGTCTATTAGTATGTAAAGAAGAGTTATATATAATGGGAGCTGAAGCTTTATTGATCCAACTGTAATTTCCTCCACAGCAATCAATAGCCTCATCTCTTGTATTATTTGTCTTGTCGCATACAGAATATTTACTGAATGAACATAAACTAATCAAGGTGCCACACAAGGAGAGCTCACTTGAATCAAATGGATGCATACAGTATATTGTTTATTTTAAGATAAAACACAATGCAACTTGTCATTCAATTTTAAAATATAAAGAAATCAAATGCTGTGTATTGACACAAAGCAGAATAACAGGGATGGATGCTGTAAGTACTATTATATACACACACATAAAAGAGACAAAAAATAATAATAATTCAGTACTCATAGATTTTATTGGGCAACATGACGACATCTCCCCATTCAAAAATATATTATAATAATTTGTTTTGAATTGTTAATTGCCATAGCAACGGTACAAATGATTAATTATTCTGAACCCATAGATGAAAAGTTGACCATATTTTCATGTACTCAGAAATGTCTCTCTACTTTTCTCTCACTGGAGTGCATGTTTTCTATTTTATCCCAACAAATAATTGAAAAGTTTCACTTTTTGTAAACAATGAGGCTTCAAATATGTTTTAATCACTTGAAATGTGTGATTTACAAAGTTGGCATTTTGGTGCGGGATAAGCAGCATTGTAGCTCATATTCAGAAATATTATAAAACAGGAAGTAATTAAATCTGACATCTACAGATTGTCTTTGGGGTTTTTAACAGTGCAGGCATTTACTGATGCCTCAATATAAAACAGCATTGGTCTCCTGCAGCCCTATGAAGCTTGACTACCCATGAATCAACCTGATATTGTTGGAGATGTAACTCATTGGCACATCGTGTATAGGGCCAGTGAGTGGGACATTATGTCATAGACTGTATCACACTAAATGTTTTGCATATTGTTGTTGTTTTCCATTTGAGTCAAGGCACATCGGCTGCTGAGACAGGTCCAGTTGCCTGGTTACGGGCACAAGACGCCATATTTGAGTTTGATGACCAGCATGAGTCAATCATTTTCACATTTGGATCATCTGCCTCCATTTGAACTCCTCTGCACCATTTATACACTCATATCTACACGTCTTCCTCTTCTCTTTGGTCTTCCTCTTTGCCTCCTGTATCTCAGCTCATGTTTATCAATACTCTCTACTTCATAAGCCTACATTTATAACAAAGTGTGGGGGATTAAAGGTGCATTATGTAACTTTCTATGTGGAAAGTCCGCAATCTAACTTGTTTCCATGGCGTTGTTATTGTTGGAAATTTCAACAGTAGGACAGTAGTGTTCTCTGTTTTGCATTTTGGATACAGGGGTTTTTATTTCTCTAAAATACTGTGAAATTACCTGTAACTTGCACTACATTTCATCGGTCTGAAGTCATCTGTATGGCCCTGTTTGAGGGGTCCCAAGGGGGACCGCTGTAGGTGATGTGACTTATATGTTGATCTGACATGCTTCACAAAACTAACCTAACCAGCTCTTTCCTGTTTATCGATGCACACCATTCATGTCAAGATCAAAAATATTACATTTGCAGTGCAATGCAAATGTAATATTTAATACTGTAATACAACTAAAACTAGAAAACCAAAGTATTATACAGAGACACTAGAACTATGTATTATATATAGAGGTGCAGCTAAATGAAATAATTGTAGTTAAATCTGACAATAAACCAGAAGTAGTTTTGAGTTTACACTAGCTTTAGCCACGTCTACCAGAGCCACAAACTTGGAATTACTAAATGTGTTTTTGTGAATCACTGAGATTGGCCTCATGATTAAGTTAAATGAATATTAGTTATGTTTGTGTGATGTCAGTTGCTCACGTAGCAGAGCCCTGTCCCTGGACCGTGAGCCATGCTCGAAGGAAACGTAACTGGACTGGAGCTGCACCTAAGTGAACTGTACCAATATCAAAGAGGCTCTCGTCTCCATGGATATATATCAATAACATCCCCATGGAGACAAGCAGGTGACCCTGACCATGCAAAAAGTGACATAATGCACCTTTAACGTAAATGCAGACATCATGTTTAGAAATGGTTCGATAGATAAATAGAAGTTTGATTTCTAAATGTGCTTGTGATTAACTTCCTACTTAAATGCTCTATATAATGTGCTGCAGCATAAGGACAATTTGCTATTTTAGTAAATAGTAACAAGCCCCTTAATAACAGAAGGCACCAAATATAAAAAATATATATTTCAACTGTGCATTTCAAAATTAAGTGCTTCAGCATTAGACATAGGAATAGTTTGTAAAATGGACATATTCATTTTTATTTAGTGATAATGGATCAAACCAAAATAATATGAGTTATGCTGAACTAAAAAGGTGTAGGGATGGACAGTGGCAAAAAGGAAAATGAAAAACATAAATAGTTTCTTAAAATACTGATTTATTTATGAATTTACACTGATTAGCAATACAACTAAAGCAACTCCATTAGATTAACCATTTATATAGGATTTTCACAGGTCACAATGAAGCTTGGCTCAATCTGGCATCCCAAAGCAAAAACACGGAAGGAGGCATTAGTAAAAGCACAGTGCAAATGGCAAGAAACTGAAGAGAAAAATTACAATGGAGTATGCACATTCAATTCATAAGGGAGCGTTTTCAGCTCAAATCAAATAGTCAATAAAAGAGCTTGCTTTCTCCAAACTAAGAAAAATGAAACAAATGAGATGACAATGACAGAAACTTTGAAAGAAAACAGAATTAACATGGTGTGCTGCTAGGTCAGTCTGTTCGTACACTTAAGCTCATTTACCCTTGTTTTAGTTCAGGGACCAACTGCCCCTCCCTCCCTTCCTTCCTCCAAATCCAATAGTTCACATTGCTTGCTGGGATATTGGTACATCTGGTTGCACTGTAGGGGTTGCTAAGGGGGAGATGTGGCAACCCATCACACTTTGGTTTACAGAGTTCAGCTGTGGGTCACTGGACTGTTACACCAATGATCGTGTATTAACTGCCCAGCGGGAGGCCACTACTGACCATTGCATTGTAGCTTACATACGCCCAATATTGTGGACATGTGCATGATATGGGTAGTTTTAGTTTCATGTTATTATCACAACCCCACTAATATAAGGTGACCAGATTTTCAAAATAAAAAACTGGGACATCCCTGGTTTGGATTGGTTGGTAATAATAAAATTATGAAACAAGTGCATAATAAAGGAAAACTGTTAAGCACTCTGCACTAATGTGAGTCAGTTTAGTCACATTTTCTTTGTGTTTTGGTCATTTTTAAGCAGCTTTTCTATATTTAACCTAAACAAATGACATAATATGCGTCTCTTTGCTGTTGGCAGGAATCAGATTGGTGAAAAATAGGGACACCTGGCTGGGACATGTCTTGTATAAAACTGGGACAAATCACTGGTTTTGGATAAATCTGCTGAGACAGAGGACACAGGGCTCATAACTGGGATCGTCCCGGGTAAAAAGGGATGTCTGGTCACCCTACATTAATAGGCAGTACCCTTATACACAATTAATTACAACAGGCTCTGTGCACAGTAGCACGCTAACTACGGTGCCTCAAGGCTAACTGCCACGTTTATTAAAATCATAAAATATTAATTAAACAATCTATTACAATTTAAATTAATTCAAAAAAGGGGTACACAATTATTTTTATATGAATACTTCCATTTGTGGTGTTGTTCTAATATTTATGAGTTAATAAGACAAGTTAGCATTAGCATTGAGACACAAACAGCTAACTTTCTAAGAGATGCTACATGTTGCTACAGAAGCGTTCTCTAGTGAAGAATTTGTTTGTATTGTGTGTTTTTTAACATCTTGTTGCTGTCCAATGCCTAATCTTTAAATATTTATTAATTTTAGCAAGACTTAGGGCAAAACCCATAGATACTGTACAACTGGAAAGGAAGTAGTGACGTTAACACTGTGATTGTTGGGTTGATTTGTGCACAGAGCCTATTACACTGACAAGAACCAGCTTAATTTCTGCTATTTAAGTTACAGTAAACCATGGACTTTCAATAGTAGATTTTAGGGCTGCACAATATATCAAAATCAAATCAAAACCGCAATTGCAGTTGACGAAATTATCAAATCGCCAATATCCTCCTATGCATTTATTCAAAAATCTTGTAGTACCTTTAGTTTAGACTTCTATGTGTTTCTTGTATTGTCTTGTATTATAGTTTAGCAGTTCATGTTTCAGTTTTAATTCAGTCTCCTAATTTAATGCGCTGATTACAATATCCATTCCGAACAAAATCCTTCTTTTTAAACATACATTGCTATTAGATTTTTTTCTAATTGTGCAGCCCTAACAGATCATGACAACTCCAGGCAAAAAACACCTCGCATGAGCCACAGTTTTGAAAAGGCTTCTACCCAGCTCCATAGTCCACTTATAAGCAGATGTACAGCCTTAATGAAGAGATAATCTGTTATTATCCTTTCCCATTAGTGGTCATTATAGTACGCCTAATCAGTGTGCGTTATCAAAAATACAAGGCAATTTAAAATATCATAGAATTTGTATATTTGTTGGAAGCCTGAGATGTGTCTATGCAGTCCCTGGGGTAGTATTTGACACCAAAGCAGGAAGAAACTTAACCTTTGTCTTATTATCAAAGTAAAGGAGTAAAACTACAATATGGCTTTAAAATAAACTCACAACAAACGAAAGGCTTCAATATTATCGACCCATTTTAACAAGTGACTGTATTTGGACTTTACCGAGAAAAAAAATCATGCATGTGACTTCTAAATCCAACTTCCTGCCCCCTGATGAGTTAACTATTACTATGCCTTACATGCTTGCACAACCAATCACTTCACATCTCCTTCACTGATGAAAATACCTGTAGCTAAAATGTTAATGTCATCTACCACAAGAAAAGTGCAGCACAATAAAAAATATAATATAGTTAAAATTTATAGCCAAAAATATCCAGTTTTATATTTCTGTGTTATATAGTAGCTCTGTGTACATGATGCTAGCAAAAAATAGTCAGCCATTCCTTTCTTGGAAACAGAGATGCTTAACAAATGTAATATACAAATGGAGATGACTAATACAGAAATTTCAATCAATAGAAATTAAATTCATTTTCAAACAAAGGCAGAGACAGCACAACGAGATTGTTTTGTTTTTTTGTTTCAGTTTGTTTGGCAAAAACAAAACATTGAGATGAAGAGATGAGACAAATGCAATGCTACACAAATGATAGAGATGTTTGTAAATGCTAATAGAAGCTTAAAATCTCTGACAATAAAGCAGAGACTATTTTACTACTATATGACCCTGTGGCTATAGTTTTGTTAAAGCAGTTTCCAGTGTGACTATTTAAATGTAGATTTCATTTTCAACAAAATAATACAAAAATAAGGGAGATTTTGTTGCAGTTGTGCAGTCATTTTCCAAAGTGTTTTCGAGATGGGGTTTCAGCCTATGAAGAACATGTTATTCAGGATTTAAATGGCCTCAAGTGACACTTTTTGGCTTTATACAATGAGCCCTATTGGAGTACTGCATAAGTAATCAGGTGAGCGATATCCAACACCCACTGAGTTGCACAACATCTTCTGCAACTTATGTGACCCCACCAGATCATTTCCCAAAGTCTTTAGGACAAGTCGTAACATAAACATATTTGTATGTAATCCTTTCTTTTTTGCACATAAAATCTTTTTGTTAAAAAAGTCAAATAACATTAAAAACAAAACGATAAAAGCAGAGACAAAATGACAGACATTAACAGAAAAGGCGACACTTGCTCGGGATCTGCTCTCACGCCTCCGTCTTCTCTTTCTTCTTGTTTTTCTTGAGGAAGGACGGGGTGCGGAACTTCTTCTTCTTCTTGGTGTTGGGCGACTTGGAGGGCGAGCTCTCCTGGGACAACACTTCTTCGATCTTCTCACCGGGACGCACCAGGATCTCCACGCTCTCCACACTGGTGGTCAGCTGGCTCACGCGGTTTGACAGCTCCTCGTCCAGGCTGTGGTGGTCTTTGCCGTTCATGAGGCCCGTGTGGTTGTCTAACAGAAGCAGGAGGGACAGGTGAGGATAAGGTGAACTCAAGCATTTCACGTAGACTTGTGTATTGTTAAAAGTATACTATGTAAGTTTTCTGATTGAGTCTGCCACCTGCTTGTTCCCATGGAGATGTTATTGCTTTGCCTAGAATGTCCCACAGTATATATCTTGCATTTATTCGATTACAAGTGTTTTTAATGCTCAAAAATACATTGAAAAATGCATTCCTACTGTGAACATGGTGCCTCACCACAGATCTGAACTGTAACATGACCTGATTTAATGCCTTAATACTGTGGAACATTCCAGAAAAAACTATAACACCTCCATTATGTTCCTTTCCATTTTAAAGTTACCCTTTATTTGGTGTATGTAGCATAACATTATGACCACCTTTTCTTGCTTTAATAAATTGTGAATCAACATTGACTTGCTGTCCAGATATATATTGATTAGTCCTTATGGTTACTAAATAATTCCACTAATGTGTAACTATTTGTGAATTATTAACAACATCAATATTTCCCCATATAATCTTGGGGCAGTCATATGTACTCCTATGTGATTAGATAATTTACATATAGTTCACAAGTTTAAAAAATGAATTTTCTGTTGTCTAATAGGGCTCCAATATTAAATCCAATATTCTCATTCCACTGCAGAAAATGAAACATATTTGATTGCGTGCAGAGAGACCCACTGGCCCTGTGCTCTACATCCTTCATAATATCCTGTCATAAACCTCAGTGACCCGCTGGCCTAGAGTATGTCCTCCTTTCACCTCCAAAATGAGCCTTTTAAAATACTGCTGCTGCTCCCCATTCACTTAATGAGTGTTCACGTAACTCACAACAGCCCTTTCCCTGTTGTAACTAACAGATTAGGGGAATGCAGGGCAGCCCTATCAAATTACTTCTCTACACCACAAAAACACAGATATCTTCATGGCTTCATTTTACCTGAACACAAAACATGGCCACGTTAGCTAGACACTTGTATAACATCTGACCTGTTTTTTTTTTTTCAGCATAACAACTGGGTGACCTCACTGCAATGGCGTCAGGAAAAATATGGGTCCCCAGTGCCAGTATGTTGTCATAGGTTAATTGTTACTTATTGTGCGTGGTTTGAGTTGCAGGGGAGCGCACAGGAAGTCAATGCCTCTGTGACACACTTGTACAGTCACTGCTATTATCTTTTGTCTTACATGGAGGCCGGCCCAGTTCAAATGATAGGGATTTTTACAATAAGTGGGTTTCTGGTATTTAAACCTGTTTTACTGAAATCGCCACAAAGCTTGGAAGTCAACCATTTAGCTTCCCACTGAAATTTCAGCCTGAAAACTATCAACACTATATATACTACAAGATAATGTGAACATAAATGATTTCTTTTTCAAGTCTCATAAGTAGTAGCAAGTAATAATTATGTACTCAAACTTTGAATTGCAAGTGCTGACATTGAGAGAGTTTGATATGGGTCAAATGTTCATGGCTAGTCTATTTTTTTTATTTTTTTTTTACAGATCTCTCTAAACTACAGTTCTTAAAGGGCCCATATTACAGTATTTTCTGATCTGATTCTGATTATGTTATCACACAAAATTGATTCTTGTGAGCTTTTATCCTCATCAAAAACATATCTGGAGTTGTGTTTTGTTTCATTCACACATGTTCAACACACAAACCCTGCATATTTAAGATGTTCTTCTCAAACAGAAAACACTCTGTTCCACCTTGTGATGTCATGTGGTAATGCATGAAGTGCTCCACTGTGTTTTTAAACTGCATGCACCTTCACTAGAATCATTTGAACAATTTCATCCCTGTTAAAAAGTTAAAAGGTAAAAGGTAGCTGTACACTTGAAACCTACCACTACATGACATCACAAGGTGGAACAGAGCATTTTGGTTTTTGTCCCCTAAGGAAAGCCATAGGCTGAAACGCGTTGGGACTTTGTAAGTTGTCCATTAAGACATGCCGTAAATTAATAAAGGCATTTTATTTTAACCAGTGAGTGCCTTGGGTTTTTTGCATCTTTTTACTGACTTCCCTTCCCAAAGAGCACCACTGAGTTGGATCTTCTGTGTATTATCCTCTGGTGGTCCAGGAAGCGCTTCTTCTGAAACCTTTTTATAGAGCATTTTGAGCTTTGGAGATGTAGACAGACTAATAATAATGGGTTACTCAAACACGTGTGAATGAAATAAAACACAACTCCAGGTAAGTTTTTTATAACATAGCTAAAAACACACAAGAATCATTTTGTGTAATATAGGACCTTTAATTGGTTTTACCAGATCTGTTGATAGGATTGAAATTGACTATTGAAATTTTGCTATCATGGCAACCTAGTCTGTATGGTCCGATTGTAATCCAAATGGTCCAGAGGTAAACCCAAAACAGTTTAAACCTATGGGGCCAGGGAATGAAACATAGTTCTAAACACACATGAAATGACTAGTGAAAGTGGTCACAATGTTATACCTGATCAGACTTTTGATTCAAACTCATGCAAACACATGTTAAATATATATTAAAGTTAAGACATAAAGCATTCATGGAGATAAGTTGTTGTGAGAGATACCTTCTTTGGCCGGAGTGCTTTGTGCGGACTGGGTTACAGACAGAGACTGAGACAGAGTAGAGCCATCGTCAGAGGTTAGCTCGTGCTCGCCATCTGCAGGGAGGGAGGGAGGGATGCGGGGTGAGGGGGGGCAGTGGTGAGAGGATTGTACAGCAGCAGGGGTAAGTGGATGAGAGGTGAAGGGGGTAGTTGGAGAGATTGGGGATGAAGGGTCGAAGGGGTGAGGGAGTGGGTAGAGATTAGCAGTAACACAGACATGTTAGAATCAGGCCATGCACAGCTGCGTCCACACACAACTAACAAAATCCTCCACTGCTGCAAATGAGAGGGTCAAAGAGTCACCGTCACTCTGTTATGTAGCCGACACAGATCCGGCAGGGCAAGTTTGTACAACAACTCACTGCCAGTTTTGCGTTTTAAGGGTCAATGCATCAAATCCTTTGCCTCAGCAGTGTGGAAAATTCTTCTTTTGTGTATTGATTTAGCAAATGTTTTAGTCAGATGCCCTTCCTCTGTAACTATCACTTATAAATACAATGGCACATGTCTCGTTCCAGTTTGAATGACATGTGATGTTTTCACTGACATTGATTTGCGGTGACATCACACGGGGGGGGTGTTCTACATATATGTTTATGGTGGAATGTTCAGCAGTTAACACATGAAATCTGAGCCTGATACTTTTTCAGGAAGCTGTGGTAAATCTGAGCATTTGTGTTCATGTTTAGGTGTTTGATTTTCAACAAATGGTGAGAGTAACTGAAAAACTGTTGACTAATGCTAGCTAGTTTGTAATTGTAATAATTGTATGTGTTTAGGCTTGTGGTAAAAACACAAATCAGTTCTTTGTGTTAAAATAAAACTCAGATTACAGATTAGAGCCTAACGTTAGCTTCACATCTCCAGCGAATATGGATGACATCAGATCCAAAATATGAGCAAATTGACCACAATAGTTTAATGATTACAATTTTAACAATAATTTACCTTATAATCTCCTTGACAGTTATTCCTTTATTAGTTAAACTACATATATCTGTGTAACTGCACATAATGGTCACATCTTTAGCAGCAGTAACAAACACGTGTTAATTTAGAGTTTAAAAACAGAAAATAAAGTATGCATTACTGGTGTCATTAGACTGAAATGCTGATTAGAGGAGCAGTGACATTCCCATATCACGTTATTATCATATTCATTAGCACATTCACTTGGCTGAGGTGCCATTGACAGTTCATTCATGCAACACTGTTTAGAGCAGTCTAAGTGAGGCTCTGTTCTACAAAAGACCTTCATTCATTTTAAGGCCAAAGTAATGTTATATAATATTTGAACTGAATTTACACTAATTATATTTAAAGGAGCACTATGTGATAACATAGGGGAACATTTCGCCACCTGCTCGTCTACACAGAGATGTTATTGCTTGGCCTGGAATGTTCCACAGTATGGTATCAAATTAATGTGTACCATGGAGACAGGAAGGTGGCACCATAGGTTCAAGGTACAGTCACAGAAAGAATGATTTTTCAAGGTATATGTTTTAGCAAATGTAAACCTGTAATTGAAGATAGATAACTTTAATGTCATATCCCCTGTCTCCTGAAAAGTTACATAGTGCACCTTTAATAAAAGTTGTCTACATTGAAATCTTTGGTTTGGTTGATAGGTAAATGGTAGATTTGGCTCAGAATAAGGAAGCTGTTTTCACAAAAGATACTGTACATACCAATAATTCCTGTGAATACGCCAGCCGCATAGCAACTTTATTATTTCAGCTACTCTGCCCAAAGAGTTAAGAGACATTTCTTTCAACATTCCTCTTTTTGTTTATTATTTGTTTTAGTTTTAACAAAATAGTAAGTTAGTAACAATAATATAATGGTATAATTGTAGTGTTTTAAAGAATGGAAATTAATTGGAGTGTTTGTAGAATATATAGTGCCCCACAGGCTAGTATCAAGACCATCTCCAGCTTGTATCCAGATTGGCCTCCTGGGAGTCATGGGGCTGTGGGGGCAACAGTGTCATAGCAACGGGCCGCGCTCCTGCAGCGGGTGTGAAGACCTGCTGTTTGATCAGTCTGTCATCTTACTCACCCCTCATGTACATATGCACACCGGTGGTACCATGCATTTTCATAAGCAGGCAACACATGTGAGAGCTTATGCATTAAAACATCAAAATGACATCTTCTTTCGAATGGGTGATGGAGATTAGGAGACATCTCTAACCAGTCTGTTCATTATTGATTTTGCCCATGCCCCTTGTAAAGGCAATATGGCAGAGGGCTAATATGATTATAGCACTGACTTGACTGCGTGGTAGTGTGGACAGATAAAGAGAGGGGAGCCATTAAAGACCTGTGCTCATGTTTAAAGACCTAAGTACTGCGTGTGTATCCAAGGTCTTCAGATTTACCCTCTGGGATGAGCTAAGACAACAACAGGGTACACAGAGTAATGTATTATGTTATTCTAGCACTACACCATGGTGAAGGAGCTGTTCTTAACAAGGATTTTAAAAAGCCTTGATGATATTTGTGGGATTTAAAGGTTGAAGGTTTTTTATTTGTTATTCAAATATGCGAGAGAAACACATGGCACGGTGCAACTTGTAACTTTTTCTGGTGGCATGTCCGCTACCTGCTTCTCTGTGAGATGTTATTATTGTGCCTCTAATGTTCCACAGCATGCCATTAAAATTATCCATTTATCATTTGTTTCCATGTGTTTTTATTCTCAAAAAATCTTTGAAAAACCTAATTCCAGCTTGGCCCAGTGATGTCATTTGCTTGACTCCATGAAAACAGATAAGTTTATTGCCATGGGGAAAAGTCCAGGCAAAGCAATACAATGCAATCTCCTTGGGAACAAGCAGGTGGCAGACTCTGCTTCAACCAAAAAAATTACATAGTGTCCCTTTATAGGGATTTTATTTTGACCCATTGATTATACAGACTTTGTATGAAATCACTATGGGAAATATTTAAACATGCTATGGCAAATTTGGGCCTTTCTTCTTTATAATCCATCACTCCATTTATAAAGATTTATAAGGATACAAAGCTTAATACATGTTTCATAAGTGGTTCTGTTGTAAAATAAAGATGGTGGAGTAGACAGGTTCTGCCTCTGTGTGTGTCCATGCATGTGCTGGGGCCATATGTCTCACACCGTGACTTGGCTTTTATGCAGTTTGAGCCACTTTGCTCAAACAGAAATAAACAATGGTCAACACCATATATAAGAAAAGCATTGCCCAATTGAAGTTGTTTTACTGAAATGAACTAGCAATTAAAATATTCATAAAATGTTGTATCTATAAAGCCACTACAGTATTATCCCCAAGCAGCTACCTCACACTTATGTTTCAGCACCGCAAATAAACTACTAACAGACCATTAAATTCATAATAAAGATGCTGCACCATTTTTGTTCTTGTACAATGTCAGAAAAATAGAAAATAAAACATAGGAAATTCATTAAGTTTGGTGTTAATATTTAATTTTATCAGGACTGTGTATGTTATGGTGACTCTCTTACCGCTAAGGCCCAGTTGTCTCCTCTCCACATTCTTGCGGTACTCTTCCAGTTCTTTCTCCGACAGTTCACTGAAAGGGTTGGGAGGCAGGGGCGCCATCTGGTCCTCCTCTGTGGGTACGTACGGCTGGGGAGGAGGCGGACACAGAAACATGGGTGAGTTTGGTAACACACTAAAGCCATAAAAGCAAATCACAGTCACATGCTACAAAACACTGGATCATAATGTAATGTGATCCAGAGCGTATTTGAGATAATAAACCACATCACACAACGGAGACAGGGAATCAACTGACGCCCCTCCTCTCTTTTCAAGTAATCAGTCTGCAAACCATAACGTGTTCAGACTGTGGGAACCATCACAAAATTTATGCAATTTACAACAGTGAAACCACAGCATCCAGGGACAATCTTCAAGCATGCACACATGGTACACACATGACATGTATGTGCTTTGAATGACTGAAGAATAATATGTGGATATCTTAATGCTGTCATGCTACAAAAAATATTAAAAATAAAACAAATTGTAAAATTTGTGTGACATCAGATGTAAAGGTGCACTATGTAACTTTTCTGGTGGGGAGGGTATACCACCTGCTTGTCTCCATGGAGACGACAGCAGGCTAGGTTCTGGGGCAAGAAGTCCACAATCAAAGTAAAAAAGCAAAAAATAAGTAAAACATTTTTGAGCATTTTAACAACTGTAATGGTGTTAAGGTTTATATATTTAATTGTATGCTATGGAACATTTCAAACAACATCTCCATGGAGACAAGTGGGTGGACCCTAACTAGAAAAGTTAGATAGTACACACTTATTATTATAATGACATGCATATATCTTCAGAAATGTTAAAATAAAAGACACACATCACAAAACATCACTGCAATTCACTGTGCATAGTTACCAGGACATTGATCTGCACTGTGTCCTTTAAGACAAGACATCAACCAAAAAGCAAAGCAGTCATCATTTGTTTCCATTTAAATTTAATCACTTGTCTCCCTCTAGTGGTCAGAAGGTATTTAACATGTTCAGTTCTAACTTGACCTGCAGGCTGCATGTTAAACTCTTGTTTACCCACTCATCTGTTCTCACTTAATCATCAGTAATCATTGTTCCTGCCAGGCTCCAGCTTAACCATAGGTTAACCATTATATTATTCAGCTGTTGCAACAACACTTTATGTTTTGCCTTTTGTAAACCTTTATCAGATAAAGTAACTAAACAATTTCATTAAATATCAAGACAGGACACGTGTGTAAAAGAAATCATTCACTAAATACAATTTATATCATTATATTATAATTTTTTGCTCAAAGGTATAATAATGACAGTTACCTTGCGCGGAGGGTCCACTGGGATTCCTGCGAGGTGCTGAGAGACGGGCCCAGATGACTTCATGTCATATCTATTCTGCTCCCGTATCTAAAGAGACAAAGACCACACTTAATATAAAAATAAACAGAAATAAAAAGAGCACCACAAATACAAGATTAGCTTCAAAACTACATTGGCCTTTTAGAATACATAGATATAATTTTCATAGATTACATAAATTTTAGATTGGGTTTTATACTGTTACAAAATGGAGTGACATTCAGCTACAATGATTCCAGTATTCAACTGACCAGTTACTGAATACATAAACTTACTTTGTTTCTCTTTTCAAGCACTTCACTGGGGTCTGTGTTTAGTGGGACAAACTGATTGGGATCTTCAATTCTGATTGGTGTGCCCACCTCATCTGCCTTCATCCACTGTGAGAGCAAAAAACACACATTTAAAAACATAATTTTAGTTCTCTGAAACCATGCTGACAACTTAAAACTACACAGAGAATAATGAAGTGGCACTGTATGGGGAAATGTTTTATACTCCGTAACCAACAGAGGGCGTTGTGGCATAAAATATCAAGTTATCTAGTTACAGGTCAGGACTCAAACTCCACATTAACTTAACAGGATTAGGTAGAAAAATTTACCGTGGTTGTCCGGCTGTTGTAGCGGTCTTCATTGTTTTCCACATTGACTTTCATGTAACTGTTGGGAGAGTTAAGCCAGCGTGTCTTCTCTCTCTGCTGTCGCTGCTGGAGGAACTTGAAGGGGAGTCTGGTGGCCATGTCTCCATCCTCCTCGAACATGAAGGACGTGACTGTGGCCGGGATCTCCACTTCGCTCTTGTGCCTTGGCTTGTCCCGTATAATGGGCTGGCGATAGGCATACCCTGTCCTGTAACCCTGCAGCAAAAAACAGGTACACTTTATGTCACTGAATTACATGTGTCACAGCAATATAAAACATACGTTCCCTAAATTAATTCAGTACACAAAAGCTTTGGGCATCACAGATTTTGTATTTAATGGTCTCTTTCATTTGTCTCCGTCATCCAACGTTCCTAAACTTTATGGTTTTTTTTGTCTTTATGTCAGTACCACTGCCAAAGCAGAAGCTGCATCCAAGCAGAACATTGTGTTCTCTCTAACTCCACTTTACATGAGGATAATTTAGAATTTTCAACAAATATGCTAGATGCATATCTTTTATCTGCTAACAGAACACATCATGGTAACATCTTATTGAGCTCACCATGTTGTCAAGCATCCTCATGAGAGACTCAAACTCCAGCTCTCCCTCCCTCCACTTGTGGAGGCCGCTGTGGTTAACATCATTTATTTCCACATCATGAACTCGACTTTTGTATGCCTCCTGGTCCAGCACTATTAGGTTGTCAACACTTCCAGCACAAGAAATTGCCTTGACCTACAAGAAAATGGTTTTACAAAACACAAAGTACAAACTAAAGCTACAATGCAAACAAATGTATTTGATGCAGAGATTACTGCTGACATTGGTGGTGGATTTATTCATAGAATTTAAGATGGGCTTTACATGATGGATTAATGTTTCCTTTTGCCAATCTGATTTGCCTGACAGGGACAGAGAGGGGACCATCTAAAAATCCTGCCATGCTACAGAGAAGAGAGCACCCTTCTTGCTTTACCTCCAGGGATGTTTTGTTCAATCTCAGTGTCTCGCCATTGAAGTAAAAGAGGAAGGGACTTTTTTTTAGTATGGTAAAGATATAAAGGCCACAGGATATAGTTATTTATTGTTTTGTAAAATTTTATACATTTTGTCATGACAATGTAAACCCTCACTCATTCATTCAGATAACTTACCCCTGAAACCTTTTCTGCCTAAACATTTTGTCTTTATTACAATGCTAAATGATGTGGCAAAGAAAGCAGAGTGATATGTAATGTGTACCTGGATTTCACAGGCGTACTGAGCTTGGTACATGTAAAAAAAGGCCTCTTCGATAGTCTCTCCCAGAGTAAGGACTCCATGATTTCTCAGCACCAGCACCTTTACACACACATACATACAAAGTTATATTTATCTTGTAAACTCAATAACAGCTGACAGAAGCAGGAATTCCTATTAGGAACACACCACGCCCTGATAATTAGCTCATTTCCTCTGGTTGACCTCGAGGAAGGCCTATAAAAATACTACTTCCTTCATCCAAAATAACTCTGGGATATTGTGACATTAAAAATACTTTAGTTTGTACCTTTGTTGTTGGCCCCAGGGCTTTCTGAAGCTCTACGCGCTCCTCCTGCTCATCAATGCTGCCGTGGTAGTTGTAGTATGCAATGTCTCCCAGAATCAAAGATTCCTGGGAAATTGGCAGGAGCCCACACTTCATGGATGACACCTTAAAATAGGAAAAAAAAAAAAAAAACATTCAGCAGAACACTTTTTTAAAAATATACGCAGGCATGTCAAAATGTCCTCAAACTAAACTATGAACTTGGCTGTTTAATGCTGTCCTCAAAACATCGCTATTGAGAAGCGGTGTGCAGCTTCTGAAAGCTACTAGACTAGAGATACATGTGAAAATATGCAGGTATAAAAGATGAACTTACAGCGGCAGTGGCAGGACTGTGCACATGCACAACACAGCGGATATCTGGTCTCATGGAATAAATGGCGGCGTGTGGGCTGAATCCCGACCGATCGATCCTTAAGTTGCTGGATCCCTGTTCGATTACATTGCCAATGATGTTCACTTTAACCTGAGGAAATGAAGAACAATATTCAGAAAAGAGGCCTATGTAGCTAATACAGATATAACAATATCCAAATCTTATGATACGCATCTCACAGTGCAATATTTATTGTGATATTTTGTGGAGGCTGAAAAATGCAAACTGTGAATGTGCTACTTTTCCTTTTTGAATGCCTCGAAAAGCCTTTGGTACAGTTATAATACAAAGAATTAAGATTTGTGCTTAATCACCATTATTTCTTCATATAGTCTGTACTGACACAGCAAAGGATCATGGTCTATTTAGTTCCATCAATTTTTTTGTTGTTGTTGCTGCACCAAAACGATACAATAACACAATATTTTGGTTATGGTTACATCCCTATTAACTAAATATCTAAAAGAGATGGGATTTCTAGTTATTAACACATAGCAGACATTAGTATTATTATTATTAGAGAATAGTAGCATCACATTAGGAATGATCAAATAATCTACTTGAATATTATACAGCATTATACTTTCACTGCCTACATAACTCATAATCAGTCGTTTCAGGTTTATTACATTCACCATGGCAGAGAAAAGAGAAAGGATGATGAAGATAAAATACCTCTGTAACTGAAGACTATAAAATGTCAGGTAGATGGAGACATAACAATAAAAAGCAAGTTGAAAACTAAGAACAGGTGTGGTGTCCAAACTGATAAAAGAGCGTGACAACCCAGATGTCATTTCAACATTTCCACTAAACAGCTCACAACAGACACACTTTAATCTGAAGTAAAACCTTAATACCAAAGTATTACAGCTTACATATCCAAGAATTACTACTTTAATAATCATAATACAATAAAAGATGAATGTAACTCTATGTAGACTGTATATGGTTCAGTAAAAATCCCACTGTTGTAAAACCTTTTTAGATGCTACATATTGATGTGTGGACAGCTATATTGATATGGTACCCAGCATACACACAAAATAACTTGCAGCTCCAAATAACTATGCCAGTGCATGCCTAGATTGATTTAATATTGACAATGTTATGCAGCATGTCCGGTTCAGTCCAGCACAAGTTCACTCTAGGTCTTTGGCTGTGGGCAATGTAAATCCATTAAGTATGGAATTAATAGCCTCAAAAAATGAATTTAATTAGTTGAAGAGAATATATTATGCGTTTTGCTGTTTTTTTAATATTAGACTATAACTTACGTAGTTTCTTATTTTTTTTATAAATTGTGTTCATTGTAAATTGTAAATTCAAAAAGCTTAATAATGGAAACTGGTCAACTGACTTCCTGTTCAAAACTGCAGAAAAGACAAACCTGCTTCCTAACCATGGTATTTAATCATAGCAACAGCAGATTTTCATTTAAGTGTGTTTACTGATGAAAGAAAATACAATTTAGACCCCAACATGCATGATCAGGAGTCTGAATTTTAACATAAATGTAAGTTTATACATAGTAATTGGCGGAGAGTAATGGGGGGTGGGTGTAAACAGACATTTTCAAAACACTCAAGCCTTGAATGATGGAGGATACACAAACATGCAAGAATCAATTTTAATACGTCTTAGAGTCAGCTAGTGGTGAGGATATACTGCTACAACCTCGGTAAGTAATCATAAAAGTTGACTTTACACAATGCCCCCTATAAAGAAGTGTATTTGTGTGTGTAATTGTGAACTTGTATAACCCTGATCTCCGAGAGGGAGGAGCAGATGAGAAATGACTAGAGCCAACTCAGATCAGTCTGACACAAGCCTCCGCTGACCTGCAGACGAACTCAGACATTTTTGATTCACCACGTTTTTGACAATGTTCCCTTGTCTAGAGTACAACTACTTAAATATGTAAAATAAATAACAATAAACAGAGTAAACTAAATTGTGGTTATCAAGATGTTAATGAATGTTATAAAAATGTTAAGAGTTATTAAGAAGGTGTCATCATTACGTTCTGGCCAATCAGCTGTCTAGTATCACAATATATTATAGTTAGTATGTTTGTACAGGTGTTAGCAGCAAGGACACTCATAATGAAACAGGTTTTAGGAAAATACCCAGTAAAAGTATTAGCCCTAAATCATAGGGCCAAGTTCAACAAATGACATGCCAAGTTTGCATCCAAGATATTGTAACATACAGGCGATATTACCTCCAAACTAATAGTTACTCAATAATGAAAATAAATATTGGGAAGAGGCAACATATTAAGCTTTTACTTCTTACAGCACCACAGTACTTTTAATTTTTATCACTTTTTAACTTCTTGAGCATCTTACCAGATTTGACGCAGCAGCTTCGGCAAAGGAAAGCCCTCTTGGTATGATGAGGATGTGGTCCTGCTCTTTGCTGACACGAGCCTGTGGAAAAAGGATAAAAATATAAATTACAAAATTCCAAAAGAAATATGAATAAAATTTGAGTTTTGCCTGAGTAAATTTGCAATAAATATGCCCTGGGAAACAGGACTTTATGCCATTACAAATGCTTTTTGCAAGTGACTCCTCTGTATGAAGATGTTATTATTTTACCCCAGAATACTTCACAATATGGCATTAAAGGTAGCCACCTTGCATTTATTTCATTATAGGTTTATTACTCAAATATAACTATATATGCATATGAGCAGTCTTGTGTCACAGATCTGAGCTTTAACTTGGCTTAGTGGCAGACCCTCCACCAGATAAAATTATATCTGCACTTAAATTTTACACAAACCATTATTTCTGCCTCCAGAACAAGTACTACATTTTATTTGACAAATCTTGACAAATATGTATGGTTTTATCAATATGAATGAACTTGATCAGATTTATGGGCTGAACAAGTGCCATATCCATGTAACCATAGAAACCCTTACTGTGATGTAGGAGCTGGCGAGGTGTGCCCAACTGAACAGGTCCACCAGTCTGTAGACACTGGCCAGTTTGCAGCGCATTTGCTTCTCCCCCTTCACCATCGCAGACAAGTCCGCTCCGTACAAGTCATTGATGGGTGTCACCATTCCCAGACCTTTCAAAAGAAAACAAACAAAAGGGTCAAACTAAGACTCAGTTGAGTCTATAATCGAGGTCCCCTGTACCACACCTGTGTCTCAATCTCACAACAACATTCCAGTTTGTTGATGCAGTCTTGAACATACTCATTACAGCTGTATTTTTAACTATAGACTAGACAGAGCCGCTATAGGAGTTTTGGACATGTAATTGGACATTAGTTGTGCATTCCTGCCTTGTGATTAAAACCAGCTCAACATATGGATTCATGGATTGGACGACAGGATCAAAACCAGGGAAAAATGCGTGGCCCTTCCGGAGTCTGGGACAGGGCTGTCCCACAGAATATAAGACCTTAAGCACTAAAGGCTCAAATCTGGTAATGGATTGTCTCATGAAATAATGATGGTCTGTGTCTGATAATAGTTAGAATTGTCATGCTTTTGGGGGCATTTAGCATAAAATTATATTATATGTAGCTTGTGATTTTACATTTTGTTAATTTTAATATAAGTCCAAAATTACTTCATAATAGAAGCGTCCATTGACATCCAGTTCAAAAGCACAGAACTGATTTTCTGCATAATAGCATTTTTATTGTAGTAAGTAGCAATATTCATTTACATGTTTTTATTTTCGAAAAAAGGTTATGTGACAAATTTGAACCCTACATATCACTTTTAGTGGCCTGTATGAAAGATTACATGAATTTTTCCATTCTTATTTTAATCAGCTCTTAATCAGCTTGTTGCACCATTTTAAGATATTTGTTAGTTATTATTAAATAATATATCAATATTATTTATATAAACTAACTATACTGTACAAGTAGTATTGTTAGAAACTATACTAGGAATGGAAGCTTTTAAATTGGATTAAATCACCATCCACTTTTTACAATAATCATGATTATGTAAGCAAAACATCCAGCATCTTTAGAAGGCCTTCCTAATGCCAAGAAATACAGCACATACAATCAATTTGAGACTACGGATTGAAATTTCATGCTTGGATTTCGACAACTTCCAACATTTTCCCCACTATGGTACAAATAAAGGATTTCTTACATTATCTTTTTTAATTAAAGGTTTGTGTACAGGGTTGTGTTATACACACTGAGAGGGGAGGTGTTGAACCCAGCCACAGAGCTGGTCATGAAGAAGTCTGCGATCTGTCTGAGAGCCAGCAGCCCAGACGGGACACTGCCTTTCCTCTGCTGCTCCGTGATCAGGCTCTCCAGCTCCTCTTTGAATGCCTGCCACACACAGAGACACAGACAGTTATTAAGACTGAATAATCAGAAGAAATGTCAATATCTTAGAATAACTTGTTAAGGCAGAACAATTACCACAATAATTCAAACTATATATCAACATAATATTGATAAAATACATACAGTTTTGTTTATGTTTGCAATTAATCGAATACTGGGACAAAATGTTAATATTTCAAATCAGCTTTTATCATAACAGAAAAATTTAAAGATAAAGGAAAAATGAAAATCTTGATATTTTTTGACTTATTCCAGTTCCAATAATCAGAGGGTACTGCAGCAGTCCTTCAAAACTGTAGATGTAAATGGTTAAGGTTCAAGTATCACAAAATCACGCGTACATTTCAATACAAAAGGAAATAACTCTCATCTTATATGATTGTTTGGAAGATTACATTGCAAATCTTTTTTTAAAATTTTGAATCAGCTGACAGAGGCTCAAAGCTTGCTGTCTGATTGGTTGTTCTGGTGTGACTCAGTTTATGGTTAATCCCTGTGTCCAGTTTAATACAGGACATGCTAAAATGATGTTATGCAAGTCCACAGATATGCACTAGGGATTATCTCATAGGATGAAGCATACAGTTTTATGCAGTCTTTCATAATAAATGTTTGTGTTCATGAATCAAATGCTTATCACAAGATAGTAGAGAACATTATACTGTACACTCCGTCAGAAGTTTGGGACTCACCCTCTGATGTTTTTCTGTATGTGTTTACTACTTTCTGCATTTGTATACAGAAGACATAAAATTTATGAAGTCAGATATAGGGAATTATGTAGCAAACTATATAATTATATATATCTTACTTCATATATTTTAAATCTTGTGTATGTATCTAAAATGTAGAAAGTAGTAAGAAAAAAAGAAACAAAACACTGAATGAGAGGGTGTGTCCAAACTTTTGACTGGCCGTGTATGTTTAAACAGCACCAGTCAAAAGTTTGGACACACCTTCCAGACTTTTGGCTGGTAGTGTAAATCATACACCAATAGAAAGTCTATTCAATAGACTAATTTAGGGGCTAGTGAAGACATAGCTTAGATCATCTTTATAAGGCAGTTAACCTCTTCAGGAGGGCTTTCATTCTGCCTACAGGCCAATGCCATTAAAGCCAACAATGCAAAAGGATCCAGGAAACAGACTACAGGAATTTACACACATTTCAGGCAGGTATTTAGTCATTTCAGATCAGTAGTTAAAGGAAAGCCTGGGATGGCCCTGTGAATTCTGGTCAAAGTAAGAGAGTAGTCTCTCACTAAGTAAACCATGTAAGGCAGGGGTCTCCAACCTCTTTAGTGAGCTACCCTTACAAAATGAAAATGCTGAAGAGCTACTTATTTAGAGGTCACAAGAAATTGAGTAAATATAAGAGTCTTAGATGGGGTACACTTGCCTATAAAACATTTTCACAACTATTATATCTATGAGTGTACAAAGACAGGCATCAGAATACATTTACAATGGTAACACAGGCATTTAATCAAATCAAATTTTAGTTATTCAGCGCAATACATATGATTCAGAAATCCCTTGGTGAGTGACTTGGAAGGGGGTGAAGAGCTATTGGTAGCTCCCGAGCTACAGATTGGAGACCCCTGATGTAATGTAAATATGATCCAACTTTATTAATCAGGAGGGAAATTATTATGCCAGAGAGCATATAATATTAGCCTGATTCATCAGCCAGTTTCACTTTGTAGAAACCGTCTGACCTCACAGTGTTAGAATTTGTTCGCTCAACGGTACATTTTATCATTTAACCAATCGCTGCTATTTGGTAGTCACGTATGTAATGCGCCGCTAATGGGGCTAACTGGTATATTAAGCTTTTCCCAAATCCCGTAGGAAGAAGGGCAATAACGTCTTTCCCCTTGATGAAATTCACCAAACATTCTCTTTATTCCGGCTTTAAATTCTCGATATCTGGAAATCATTGACAACACTGAATATATGACTCTTCACTGGTGCCCGAACATACCAGAAGACCATATGAAACTATGAAACTATTCAATAATCTTTCTCAATATAAATTTGATTATGAAAGATAAAGTCATAAACCTGAGTAAAGTGTATGCGCACGCTGCACTGGCATAGTTGACAGACAAATCGATGTTTGATGTCTGACTGGTAAAAACGAGGGAGGGAAAAATAGGCCATGGCACAATTTCCCTCTTGCTCCTCTTTACCATTCAATATTCATGCATTTCTTTCATCCCTTTTGCAGTAGTCAGCCTAGACTTCAGTACCAATAGACTTTTGTTTATGCACACTCAACTTCCCTGTACCCCTCTGGTGCCCCATGGGACCCTCCATTACTGAGATGTGAATAGATTTTTGGCCCATTGGCTTTATGTCATATTGAGTGTTTTGTAAGAGCTTGTCCGGACACACTACTGTTTCTGAACGGGGCCAGACATTCCTGTTTCTATGGAGAGGTCACCACGCAACCGTCCTCAGAGACTAGGGCTTATGCAGCGTTCAAGTGACCCTTGAAAACTACGGCCAGCAGTAGGAATGGAAAATAAAGAAAAAAAATTGTAGGTGTACTTTAAGGTGCACTATATACATTTTCTGGTAGGGTGTCTGCCATCTGCTGTTCATAAAGATGCTATTGCTTTGCATGGAATGTTACACAGTGTGACATCAAAAGTATATTACATTTATTCAATTAGAGGTGTTTTTATTGCTAAAAAAAAATTGTAAAACATTGATTCTTGCTGTGAGGAGATCCCTAACTTCCATTACCTGATTTTCTCAAGCACCAGGTGGCAGACCAGAAAAGTTAACGTATCTTTAAGTGTAAGGACAATATACCACTGAACTATTTAATTATTTGTCCCACTTTACAAACATTGACCTCAATGAAATTGAATGTAGTTTATATTTTGTAGTCATTCTTGCTTTAGAGAGTTCTGCCCCTGCACTTTGGAGGAACAGTTTGCTGGCTCAGCTCAGGGCCAGCCTGCAGTAAACTCAGAGCTTTTCTCAGAGGTGGTGCAATGATACAATGATGTGGCTTTTTTTTTTTTTTACACTGACAGAGTGATTTCAAAAGATCGGCCTTGTTTAGTCCAGGACTGAGCGATCTCCTTTAGACTAAACAGAAACATGTAGCCAAATCAAACGGCCAGCTCCAGGCGTCTGTGGTAAAATTCACCATAATTGTTATATTGTATTTTACTTAGTCACAGTTTAACAAAGATACACGAGACATTAGACAAAAGTAAAATAAACATAGTTGGATGTGAATTTAAACTGAAACATTTTTATTGCACAGAATTAGAACTGTGCAATTAAGTACCTAAAAGTAACTGGTTATATTTTATTAATTAAAAAAAAAACAACAAAAAAACAGTTGGCATCTGCTCCACATGTGTCCAAGAAGATTATGACAGATTATATTCCCATCACTGACACATTAATCCAGAGGCCTCTGTGGACCATTTGATCATTTCACAAAACCATCACATCTGCAGCAAAAAAAAACAAAACAAAAAAAACAACAAAACAACAACGACAACAACAACAACATCTGATTACAGTCTTATTTCAGTGCCCTTTTAGTTCACACAAATCATCAGGCTTTTACAGTAGTTATAGAGGCAAAAAACAAAGCTCATATTAATCCAAAAAAAAACAAAAAAACAGATTACTGCCTCACCAGATTTGTCACTTTCTGGATGAGGAAATGTGATCCTTTCTCAAAAATGATGTTATCAGAGGCTCCTCAGAAACCACTAAATGCTAATATCTTTAAATAAAAGCAAAAGACAAATGCCTATCTCATAGAGTATTACTTACAAGATCATATCACTAGTATTATTGAGTCATAAATGATTGTGAACAATAATTTAGCATCACGAGCCTTAATGCTAAACGTTATGGGTGGCGTCACACTTGCTTAGTCCACTTCTTTTATACAGTCAGTTTCAAATACCAGGAAGTAGTCTGTATGTCCTCTCGTGAGTCTATGAAAACCTGTGTTGTTGTGTTGACCCTGTTTAAGATGGAGTTACGGTTGAACATTAACAGTTGCACATCACCCTTTGGGGGCGGCAGATGAGACCTTTTACAACTCTTACAACAGGTCTGAACCTGAGTTTGAATCAAAGCAGTGTCTGTGAATCTGCATTACCTCATCTCTCCTTGAATCACTAGTTACAGTGATTTACATGATAGGGCCTGAAAACAGAATCAACATTGAACCAAAACGTCACAATAAATCACATGTCAGACCACTACCAGTACAATGCGGTATCTAGCCTCAATAGTAAAAGGTAAGCCCAATACAAAAAAAAAAACAAAAAAAAAAGCTGAAAAATTTGCACAGCTGCCTTTGCAATTAACAACCCATTCGATTCTATTCTATCTTATAGCACCTATACTTAACAGGAATCTGAATAGGACTGCTTAGTCAGGTTGTCATGGTGATTATGTCAAGGATGTTTTTATGAATCATGTATTTTCAAAGCTTGTGGCTTTAGAAAGTTTTGAGACACCCATGTAATTCCTTAAATGTTTTCATGGTGTACCAAATACTGAATACTAACTAAACAGTACATTTTTTTCCCACTGATTACCAAGTTAAGTGAAGGAAGAACTGAATAAAACCTAGAGATGAATGCTTTCAAAAAGGTCTGCAGCAACGTCACAATTCCTATTTTGAACCCTATAAAGACACACATTCAAAGTATTATAGTCTAGTCCCTGTACCACATGTTGAGAACCAAAGCTGTAGCTGCTCCATATTAAATGTCGTGGTTCTCTTGTGTGAGTGAATGGTGTGTTTTGGGTCACATCCCCTGGCTGGTTAGGATTACACTCCCACTAAACTGCAGTTCATGTGAAGAGCACAGAGGCTGGAGTTGTCATAAAGATAAGGCAAATAAACAGACATATGCAGGGCAGTAATTATAGTTTTCTAAACTTTTCAACAACCACGCTTTTATAACTGCACAATGCTGCTCTTTCAGGCC